TGTAGCTTTGCGCGAAATTCCAAAACAAACAAACCAATCTGTTCTGTTCTCATCGCAGGTATCATGCCTCGAATTTCAGTGACATAAGCCCCCAGGCTTACCGCTCAGCCACTGGGGACATATTAATGGACGGTACAAATTTACGCATTCCCATTTTTAGTTTATCTAATTAAGGTAATCTAAGTTGCTTTCTTTCTTTTCTTTTTTTTCTCGAGTGCACAAAATCTCTTCCAGTTCCAACTATGGCCAGGTGGTTAGGGCGCTCGACTCGTAATCTGCGGGTCGCGGGTTCGAATCCCCGTCACACCAAACATGCTCGCCCTTTCAGCTGCGGGGGCGTTATAATGTGACGGTCAATCCCACTATTCGTTGGTAAAAGAGTAGCCCAAGAGTTGCCGGTGGGTGGTGATGACTAGCTGCCTTCCCTCTAGTCTTACACTGCTAAATTAGGGACGGCTAGTGTAGATAGCTCTCGTGTAGCTTTGCGCGAAATTCAAAACAAACAAACCAGTTCCAACTCTCCAGAAGCATGTTACAATTGTAACATTGATCTTAAATAAAGGTATATTTCAGTTTACACCGTCACTTGAGTTTTCACCACATTTCTTACCTTCCCATCCTTTTCTTGAACTTTGAAATTAAGCGATTTTAATCTCAATATAAATCATTTCCATACCAATGAAGAACAGGTCTACATGAAATACCTAAATATTAATAGAAAAAAAAGTACAGACACCAAAAAAAAAAAATGGCCAAATAGTGACTAGCGCTTCTCTTGGATTTTAAACTTTAAAAGAAAGACAACAACTTTTGTTCTAGGTTACCTAGGCATTAGTTGTGAACTTTTCAAATATCGCAAATCCATAATCCAAAATCATATTAAGATATTTGCTCATAGACATAAACTGGGATGGTATAGAAATTAGAAACGCTTTTCTAGCAAAGCTGGGGCCGTAGGTGCGTTATAAGAGCGGCGGTCAAATTCTACTTTCTGTCAGACAAGAGTAGCCCAAGAGTTGACGATAGGTGGTGTTGACTATAGCTGGCTGCCTTCCCGCTAACCTTTAAATTCAAATTTAGGGACGGCTAGCGCGGATAGCCCTTGTGTAGTTTGAGTGTATTTTCAAAACTTCAAACAAACGAAGAAAACATGTTTCTCCATTTAATATTAAATTATTCTCCCGCCCCCATTTTCATTCGGAGATATCTGAACTGACTACATCTTTTCGTATAATTTTGATATACATCACGTAGAATTTTATACTATTTCTAACTAATTTTAGTATTTTAATCTTTTATTGACACTTTATTTTGAAAATTGAAATGTTGTCATTTAGAACATTGTTCAGTTCATTCACTAACGTGACACTGTTTTTCAAATCAATTATTATATGTGATATACAATGATCGTACAGTGGGTTTGTTTGTTTGTAATTAATGGGCTATCTGTGCTCTTCCCACCACGGGTATTCAAACCCGGATTCTAGCGTTGTAAGTCCGCAGACATACCGCTGTGCTACTGGGGGAGAAATTAAAAAAAAACTCCGACAGTAAATAGAAGACACGTTCTGCCCAATACTTCATAGCATCAAAATAAAAAAACTATTTGTTATTTGCGTTTTAAGAGAACGCATTCGTGAAGAATTATTCTATGAAAACTAAATAAAGTTCTTATTTGTATAATTTGTAGATTTCTTGAAGTTTATATATATATAAGACAAAACGTATTGTTTACTTGACTTACCTCCGCATGTCGTCAACTTGTGGTCGTTGCAAATTTAAACTTCTCGGGTTCCCAATTATACCTGAAGATACCTTTTTATCCTAGCCTTTAATATGTGAGAATAATTCTTTCTTTTCAACTTAAACTAACTGTTTATCATGTTGTTTACTACGGCTTAAAGGATACGTAATCGCCTGGAACATCTAAATATTGTACGCTACCAGTAAATGAGTTTTTAAAAGGCAGACTACAATTATAAACGGTTTTACAACTTATTTAAGATAACTCAATATATAAATTCGGCTTTTCCTTTCCTTCCCCACCGTGAAGCATGTAAATGTCCAGTGTCTCCAGCTGCTTGTACTCGTCACTCATATAGCTCCTACATAGAGGGCGTGCGCTACACATAGCAGAAACTCGCGCAGACATCATACGGAAGGAATGGAAAGGTACAAAACACTTCATCGTACGTAATAAACTGCAAACTGGCTGTTTTTGACGCACTTAATAATAATAATAATTCTGTTAGTGTTTGAACATAATTATTTGGAATAATGATAGCATAAAATATAAGTATGATTCGTTAAATATTTATAGGGTTAAAAATAGGTGTTGAGCGAAATTTCGATTAGATTTCGATTATTGATATAAACGTCGAAATCGAATTTATAAGTACCAACATTTCGATTTGAATAGTATGTAAAAATAGATCGCGGTTTATGTTTTCACCCACAGAGGATCACTCAGAGCCACTCTCATAATTATCTTATACAGAGCTTAGAGAAAAGGGAAAACCAGTATTTTCTTTCTCCTCAATATTGCACTGCTCACTAAAAAAAAGAAATGTTAAATAAATCCATTAAGTCTGTGACCTTTTGTACAGTATTTTTCTTTCGGTTACCTTCTGTTTTGTTTTTTTCACCACATGCTTTTGTTATCAGAATTATCTAATTAGAATAATCGAGAACCGTAATCATAATTGGGATTATTTACAAGTATCGAATCGAATTTAAAAAACTGATAACTGCTCAGCACTGGTTAAAAAGTAACCTTTACAATATATATGACTTAAATAAATTTTTTTGGAAGCACGTAAAGCTAATTCATCATGCACAGTGATATTCCAAAATAACCGAGTAAAGCTAATTCATCATGCACAGTGACATTCCAAAATAACTTAGTAAAGCTAATTCGTAATTACAACGCCAGGAGTTTCAGACTAACCAAGTGAAACACTATAGAAATATGTGCATAAAAGCCCATATACATTGGTGCAACGTTGTTCTTTCGTTGGGCATGTCTTTTTAAGTTATTTGGTGAAAATAATTCAAAGTCCAGTCCACGTAACGATAACAAATGAGTTTGTTTCTTCCATAATGTTTCTACAAGCTGCCTTATCTTGTACACTGCTCTATCTTTTAGGTTTAAGTTTGCAAATGACGTTCAAACGAAAAGACCTCTCTAATGGTTTTACGACTTACGTAAAGATAAACTTACTCGTACAATTTCATTGCTAACGTATCGAGTAACATTGATCAAAACGATTCATTAAAATTAAGTGCTTCTCTGAATAACTGGCACTGAAAAACAATTGACTCAATGCTTCATTGATTCACTGCTAGCTTTCTATTTGACTGGCCCACTCGTGTTTTTATCTGGTTCCTCACTTCTATATATTCAAACTGCCGTAGAAAGCAATTCTGAGTGGTTAGGTCACTGCCACATTGCCATTTGTAGGGGGTCTGGAGGCATGCCCCCCCCCCAGAAAAGTTTTGAAAATTCAATGTTATGAAATTGAATCTTGAGCCATTTTAACTACAAATACTGCATACGAACAACGTAATGTATTGAATTCAAAGAAGCAAGTTTTAATAATAAGTTGCATACATGCCACGAAAACGTGGATAGGCCATAGCCTGACTGACTTTACCGCTGCCTACATTCCTGATTCATTGAAGTTACTGGATTTTTTTGTGACGTTATCTAGAACATTCTTGGCCTATTTTTATAAACTTACGTGATCTTAATGTTATACGTCCTATAACTAATATTTAAGTTGAAATATTGAAAATACAGCTTAGAACAATATGTTTATCAAGCAATACAATGAGATATAAAGTTGCCACAGTTAAGCGTGTAAGCCTGTTGTATTTATACTTTTAAGTATATTAATAGCATTATTTGTGTCAATTTTAGATCACGGATTTCATTTGACAAATACTTCAATCATTTAAGAGGATTGAGGTTTCTCAAGTAATACTTAGAGCATGTATTTAAAGTGCATTTAGAATTTCTCATAAAACTTACTGTACTTAAAGCAAATCAACGCCTTTGTACGTCACTATAAACAAAGTAATTCTGCTTGTTGTTCTCCTCCATTTCTAAATAATGTTGTTTATTCTGATTATATCTCTTCAAGTATTATTTAATAACAAGAACTGCAAGGAAAGCATTAGACTACAAGCTGAGACGTGTTTAAAACTCAAACGTGTGTGACTCTGGAAATATATACAAATTAGAAACTAGCAACTAAAACAACTTACAGGGAAACTATGAGATTTGGAAGAAAGCTGCATGTTGAAGAGAAAACTACCAGTCAAGCAAATTGTTACTGAAATGATACACAGATTAACAGAGCAAATTGTTACTGAAATGATACACATATTCACAGATTAACAGAGATCTAGGGTGGTCTGAAGGAAGTATAAAGTAGGCGCAAGTGATATAATTTTATATAAAAACTTATTACTGATGTCTTTCGATAGGTGGCGCTGACAAGTTGCTTTTTTTCTAGTCTATTACTTCTAGACTAGGGGCGGCTAGCGCAGGTTGCCCTCGAGTAGCTTTGCGCGAAATTGAACAAACAAACAAACTCCACTTAAAAAATAGCCAGCGGCATTACACAGAGATACGGTTTCAGTTGTTAAGCTTCAGTTATTATTTGAACATAGTGTAAACCTGCACCAGGCATGGTCATAATGCATGTTCCTATTGGCACCATCTCCTGCAAGTCGCTTATTTCCTGATCTGAACTATTCATTACAGATTTTGTTATAAGGGAGTTAGTTACTCACCAACTTGAAAATCAGCCTGCTGTTTCAACAACTGAATCCAATTCAACAACAACTACATAGAGACATGATAGTTATGTTCAGAACCAGACTATGGTCGGATGATCAAGCGTGTCAACCTAGACTGTCCATACATATATAGTTTCATGAAAAGTAAGAATAATACATAGATTAGCATTATTCGGGTACAATGTAAGAGAACTAACACATATATATATCTATATACTACTAAAACTCTGAGATTGTTTGTTTGTGGGCTTGTCTGTAATTAAATACAGCATAAACGGCGCACAATACTGCCATATTTGTAATGAAATGAGAATAGAAACAGAATGAAACAAGTTTCGTTAAAATTGAGACACGGGTTACCGAGTTAGCCCCGGTTTTCGGGTCACTTTTATGAAAATTTCTAGATGAATTTAGATACCTTAGGTGGCGCCACATATCGGTTTATCTATCTATCTATTCGTTTCCCACCTGATGAATCACTTTAAAATTTCTTTTATACAACAATATATGCATAACAGAAATTAAATGATGAGATGAAAATGTGTTATAATGGCACATAGAAAGAACAACAATAAAATGGACCTACAATATTATTGAATATTTGCAAATAGTAACTATGGAGACGAGGTAATAAAATAAAAATCAAGTCGAGAACAACAACAAAATTTTATAAACGAAAACCTCTCGCCGAACATTGATTATTGTATTATTTCCCTGTCAATGTTCCCATCTTCATTAAAAGGCATAAAATGACAAAAACAAGATCTTGAAGAATCTAACTATATACCACTAAAACTCTGAGATTGTTTGTTTGCTTATTTTCTCAATCAAAAAATCATTCACACTACCGTTCGCGCTCTTTACGAAACTTCATTGGGCC